TTTCCTCCTTCTTAGAAAGGATGACTTTGACACAACTCATTTCATAGGCTCTTCTGTCGAAGTGTCTTCATCTTAGATTTCTTCAATCTATTTTTAGCCAATAAGGCCAATATGTGCAAGTGTCAAATTTAGGAGCTAACATTATCCTTAGAGAGTTGCTACGAAATCTGAAATCAGCCCAAATATCATTTAACCTTATTCTCTCCAGACGAGTCGATATCTATATCGAAAACCCAGTCAGACAGCACCTCGGAAGGTTACCCACCACTTTTATCCCCAATCAGAGTATATAAGAATTAAATTCCTCGATAGAGTGATGAGCGACCGATGTTCTTGAACTCTTATCCCTAAACAGAAATCAACATTCCCCAGTGGAGTTTCCTCAAACAGAAATCAGGAATTCCCAGCGGAAACATTCCATACAAGATTAAAGATTACACATGTTCTTCATCCTCAACAACAATCAAGGATTTATTTTCCCAGTCAGAGATGTTATATAAAGCTACCAATGCACTTCAACAACATCTCACATTCATACATCATTTATCGTAGCATATGCATACGAAAGGAATATATCACACTCTCATTTATTTTGAGAATATCATTACACAATGCATTTCATACATCATGACATCGCATACAGCTAACTCTTTATATTTTCAGGTAAAGTCTACAAACAGACGGACATCATCAACAATTTTCTAACAGGTCGCAGATTAATTCCTGAAACAAGATAGGGCAACTATCTGTGAAAACAGATTGTAGATCAAATCCCGAAATAGGATGGAGCGACTATCTACATAACCAAACAATTTCCTTCAGAGACTGAATTCTGACGGGCATTTCCCTCAGAGACTAAATCTGGAAAGTAGCTACTTAAGCGCTTTCCCCAAAGAGTTATTCTAAAAAGAACCTTTTCTAGATGAAGTCGGGCATAGACATATTCTAGTACATCACTCATATGAAATCAAGCGTAGATTCCTTCTGAAACTCTTTTGGAAAAAAAGTCAGGCGTAGACTCCTTCCAATACCTCTTCTAGTTGAAGTCGGGCGTGGACATCTTCTAGTTCAGATAAAATCAAGCGTAGATTAATTATGATATTATTTTTGGATAAAGTTGGGCATAGACTCATTCCAAATGTATCTTCTAGACAAAGTCGGGCGTAGACTCATTCTAGGACATCATTCAGATGAAGTCAGGCGAAGATTTCCTTCTAATATTCCTTTTTGACAAAGTTGGGCGTAAACTCATTCCAAACGTATATTATAGACAAAGTCGAGCATAAACTCATTATAGTACATCATTAAGATGAAGTCAAGTGTAGATTTCCTTTTGATATTCCTTTTGGACAAAGTCGGACGTAGACTCATTCCAAGTACATCTTCTAAAAGACAAAGTCAGGCGTAGACTTATTCTAATATTCCTGTCAACAACGAATCTATATGGAATCTATAAGCCCATCTTCAAAAACTCTAAGTCACCTCTCTGAATGGCATCTTTAATCCCATTCAAGCAATATCACCATCCAACAGTGTTACCTCCTGCACATGCGAGTGCAAATTTCTGGGCACTTAAGTGTTCAATCATCTTCTACCTTCAAGTCACGAATGACGGACATGTCAATCTAACTCTCCGAGTTTAAGAAGATTGAACAGGGGTAGTTGTTGTACCCTAAAATTTTACCTCCCATTTTCATTCAAGATTTTCTCCTAAAGTTCTCAAATGCTCAAGGTGGCTCAAGAATTGATCAGACAAACTCTCATCCTAAGTAATGGGTCCATAATTGGGGTTTTGTATTTCTCAAGGAAGAATGGGTTTCCAAGGTCTCAAGTGGTTTTCATCGTTCTTAATATGTCTTTAAGAACACCCATGTTAAGTTTCAAGCCTTGCATCACAAGTTAGCTCAGCCAATGACTCAGGTGATTGAAAATTAACTATATTGGGTAAAAAGTCAAATATGATCAACATACAGTCAAACTTCACGGTTTTTGGTCAACATAAATATTTTGAAATGATATTCATCATTTTATCAAGGATTGATCATGATTCCTCAAGAAAATCCCTCAAATCATGAAAAGTCAAAAGTTGTCAAATTAGGGTTTCCTTAGGAGAAGTCAAGTGAACTTTGACCAAGCATAACTTTCACATGCTTCATTAACTTTTCCTCAAAAAAATTCCATTTTGAAGGAAATTAAATTCTTTACAAATTTGTATCTCTATGCTCAAGTCTAAAAAATACTTCATTTGAGAGATATGAGTCAATACATTACAGGTCATTTCAAAAGTCAATAAAAAGATACTTTTTGTCAAGGTAACTTACATCAAGATAAAGTCTCCAAATGCAAAAATGATTAAAATAGAAATCATATAGGATATATTGAGCTTTCAAAAAAGTCCAAGATCCCCTTCAGAAGATGAAAATTGAGTGAGTTATGACCATTGCATGTTTGGAAATTTTGAGCAAATGCATGAAGTTTAAATTGAGCAAGCTTGATATTTTGGACTGTTGGACAATGGTTTAAGAGTTCAAACGTGTATTATACTCTCCATACACCTCAAATATTGTTCTTACACCCCTTGACCTTGTTTTATTTTTATTATTTTTATTATTTTTGATTTAATTCATTAATAATACAAAATAAATAAGATAAAATCATATCTTATTACACAAAGTCCAAGTCCATTTGTTTTTGCCATAATTTTCTCTATATATTCAGACATCAAGACAAGAAACCTTACACGAAGAAAAACCTTGCCTCTCAAACTTGTCAAAATCTCCATTTTTTTCTCAAGAACCCTAAAGTTTTCAAACCCTATTTTCAAGCCCTTTTACTACAAAACCTCCATTCCATTCACTCTTAGCAAACATACAGAGTAAGATTGGATCAGTTTTGATGATTCAAAACATATGGAATCTCATCGCATAGCATCTTCAGTTGCATAATGTTCATAAATTTCATATCTTTATTTTTGTTTTATTTTAAGCCATGCTAATGCCTTTATCATGCTTTTGAGATATCTTTGTACAGGTCTGAGCCATCATGGTGATCCCATGCAACTGAAACCATGAGAAACCATGGTTATACTAATTTCATATTGTTTTCGCGTTGTGCAAATAAAGTAAATAAATGACTTGAGTTAATATCATAAATGCAAAGTTGGAATATAAATTTCATCATTTTGTTAGTACTCTTATTGTTCGTAAATTGAATTTCTATTGGACAATATTTTTCTACTTTGAAAAGAACTGATTTAACAGGAATTGTCGCTTTCGCTTATTTAGAACTGAGTTTTACTCTCTAAATTATATCGTCCACTATCACGGTGGCAGACGATGTTCGCGTTAAAGTAATAAAACCTATTTTAAGAAATTAGACTATTTACTTAGTTAAAAAGTGATTTTGATTGGAAAATAATACTTTAAATGGTTCCCGGTGTTCGCATCGGCAAACCATACCTTAAAATTACAAACGCATCCGAAAATAAGTTTAAAAAGTACTTTATTAAAATATCAATCTCCCTAATTAATTAACAAATGACTTTCGTGGTTTTTATCAATTAAACAATAAACAACCTTAATCTTTTGTACGAGACGACTTTCGACCTTACCCGACATATAGATGGTTCTACTTTCGTAGTAACCGACAAAGTAAAGTTTAGAATGGTTATGATTAAAATCAAAACAATCTCAATAGTATTTCTAAATAAACAACAATTATAAGTACAATCGAATTGACAACCCTTACATTCCAACACTTATAAATTTAGCTAGACATGATTATAACATAAACCAAAGTGATTGATTCGATCATGTAAGAAAGCATAGTAGAAATATTAAAATAAACTTTAAGCGAGCGGTTAAAAGAAAGGTAGAAAAAGAGTGTGCGATTAAATAAAGAGACGATAAAATAAATATAATGCGATAAATAAAAAACTTGCTCCGAAGAGACTTTAATCTGGTACAAGAGTAGATTGCTGAAAATAAACTTCGACGAAATGTAAATAACAACAAGATTAAATAAATGCAGAAGATAAAGGTGCTTCAAACTTGATACACGAACAAAATGTGATAACCCCTGATGTGAAGAGTTAAAGCTCTAAGAATACTGAATTATATGGCTTGTGTTTGAGCCAAGCTTGGATACCTTCAAAAGTGAAGTTAAAGACCTATTTATAATGTTTCAAGACCAATGATTCATGTGGGAAGTTACCAAACTTGAGGGAGAAAAAAAAAATAGGGATGAATAAGGTTGATGGGAGACCAAATCAAGCCAAAATTACAACTGCCCCGCTTTTATAAGGTGTGGCGACCGCCACACCCTCCATGGTGAACACCATATGTACAAGATAGCTATGACCCGGTCTTTTAACTGTTAGCGAGTGGACCACTCATGACCATCTTGAGTGCAAATTGCTCAATTTCTTTTGTTTTTCGTCTGTTTTACTTCGTTTATTTACGTACTACTTTCATTTGATCAATTTCCTAAAACATAGATAAAATACCAACATAATGGTAGAAATAAAAACAAAACGAGAATAAACAATATAATTTAGTGTCATCAATAATATGTCCTAAGATTAATATAATTGATCCAGCAAATAATCTTTTAAAAGACTAACATTTATTTAGTAAATTTTAAGCTAAATAGGAAGCACCATCAAAGATAGAAAGAGTATCCAAAAGATTTCATTTCATAATTTTGTGAGTTCCGATTAATTTTTTTTAAAACTTTATTATATATATTTTTTGGGTCAAATAGTTGAATCACCCAAATAACACTGCAATTAGCAGACTTTCTAGATCTAAGCACTAAAATTTTGTCCACCACCAGTTGCAAATTCTGGAAGAATAAAAAGAGTTAAAGTGGGTGGCATATTAGGCAGCATATGCGCCATATGAGTTTGATTCCTTGGCGGATTCCAATAAAGTATTACTTTTATCGTAAAGTATATAACCACTTCTCTCCAACTCATCACACAAACGTGACTTTGAAAAATCATGGCTTCTTCTGAGAATTCCATCCAAGACAGGTAACGCTTCCTTTCATATTCTTCATTTCTATCATCGCGTCTTTTCTTCCTTGTATTGTTTCATCATCGCGGAGGACTTAATTTCTTAGAATTTCCCATTTTCCATATCTCCGCGTCAGTTACTTGATTTACTCATCATCCTATCGTTAATAATTAATATACCAACCACCAAATACAATGCTATCATGTTTTTACCTAAGGTACTGTTTTAACACTTTACATAGATGCATCTCTGGACATTAGGAGTGTCTCACTTGCAACGTTTTTGTTAGTGTGATTTTAAGTGTTTTCGAAGACGGATCTACCGAAAGAAAGGGTATTTTCGAGTTTTCAAGGGTGTGAGTCGCACCATACGGGGTGATTTTTTATTTTTTTGTTGTTGTTGTCTAAGGCAAAATAGTAGCATTAAATAGGAGATTTATATTTAGAAATTATTTTTGTTCAATGGGTGCTTATAGTTAGAGACGGAGGGAGGTATATGCGGGCTGCATACATTTGCTCTACTTGTCATTCATAACTTTTTACAGTTGTGGCTGCAGCAAGGGTTCTCTGACTGGACTTGCTCCACTTGAAGCAGTGCTCTTTGATATTGATGGAACTCTGTGTGATTCTGACCCACTTCATTATCTTGCCTTCCGTGAGATGCTTCAACAGGTAGTGCTTCTTTACTTCTTAATGAAGTTTAAGCCAAAATATCAGAAGTATAGATAATTAAAGTTTTTATCATCACTATATTCCCTTTATTGTATTTATTTATAAATCGGCACGACTATGCACATGACCAATATCTGGTTGCATTAACAAATATTGGTGGTTGTCAGATTGGTTTCAATGGAGGCAATCCTATAACAGAGGAATTTTTTATTGACACTGTTGCTGGCAAGCATAATAATGACATTGCCTTGGCTCTCTTTCCTGGTGAGCTGGAGAGAGGCTTAAAGTTTTTAGATGATAAGGAAGCCATGTTTCGGAGGTAAGCCATGCTCTCCTCACGCGAACTATCCCCTTGTGCTTAATTTGAAGATTCTTAACGTGATTCATGACTATCTAGATTAGCAGCTGAGCAACTGAAGGCTTTAAATGGCCTTGATAAAGTGAGAAAATGGATTCAAGATCGTGGGTTGAAACGAGCTGCAGTTACCAATGCTCCAAGACCAAATGCAGAACTCACTCTCTCAAAACTTGGTCTCTCAGATTTCTTTCAAGCTGTTATTATTGGTGATGAATGTGAACATCCCAAACCTCATCCAGAGCCATACTTGAAAGGCCTTGAAGCTCTAAAAGCATCTAAAGATCACACGTTTGTATTTGAGGTCTGTTTGTTTCTTTTCTCTGCATTGCTATAGATCTGTTCTTATTATGCTTCTGACAGATCCATGTTGCTGTCATAGGATTCTGTTTCAGGAATCAAAGCTGGTGTGGCTGCTGGGATGCCTGTTATCGGTTTATCTACCCGAAACCCAGAGCATTTGCTGATGGGAGCAAAACCCACCTTTCTGATTAAAGATTATGATGATCCAAAATTGTGGGCAGCTCTCGAAGAACTTGACAAGTGTGGTTCTCATTAAAGTTTTGACTTAATACTAGTGCGATTCACATAATTTCTTGATTAAAACAAGTAGCATTTTTCATATTAAATTCACCAGATCACCTCACCTGTTTAATTTAGTTACAGGGGGTGATACTATTCTACTACTCTACTACTCCAAAATCAGAATTGCTTTGGAGTCAAAGCAAACAAGTAATTTTTTTAATTGCAATACGTGAGAGTAAAAGAGAGCGAAGGAGGGAGTGCTTGAACACTCTTACATGATTCATTACTCTTTGTTGGTATGTTATTTGGTGATGGAGGCTCAATATCAGCAATTTTGTACTACTACTTTAAATTGTTTGATATGCATACAGTGTCAAATGCCATGATTATTATTTATTACAATACCCTTTATGCCATTTACTTTTTTGTTTTGCACAAAGAGGCACTTAACCAAACTAAGTTTTGACATTTCCCGAAAAGTTTAATACTATTTGTGATTCAAGTTATTTTTGAAAAAATAGAATTGAAGATTATATCAGCTCGTGATACACACCATACACATTGCAATAACTGCAATCCCACAATTCTATTGGCAGATTTGAAATTGTGAAGAACACTCATAATTATTTTCATAGAGTTCTACTGAAATTCCCTTCAAACACTCGCGATGCATCTGATCATTCACTTGGAAACAGAGAACATAGCAATCAAAACCTGATTCATCTCTTATTGTTTCTATTCTTAGATAATAGTAGTAGATAAGGACCGTGCTTTAAAAAGTGGTGAATTTGACAGAGGATTGTTGGTGTTTTCAAATCTGTTTTAGTATATTTTAACAATCATTGAAAAGAAATAAACAATTAGCCTTGAATGCTTTATTTGCTTTTAGTTTGTTGCCGGGCGACTGAGAATTTGAGAGCTTGCTAATTTTGACCATATGCCACTAGTCTTCGTTTTGGTTTTTAGAGTTTCAGCCTTATTTTCTGATAATAGTAACAAGGAAAGTCATGGCAAAAACCTTGTCATTTATCACCTAATAATGACATCTTTTTGTGCCAAAATCAGTCTCTTTATGTACAAGTGCTAGGGTGAAAAGTATTTAGTTTTCTTCCTCAAATTTGTAGCAACATATCTTCTCCTTGTGGATCTAATCTATCTCCAGACGAGAAAACATGAACTCTACCCTTCACTAATATCCAACTACATCCAGGTGCCTTCCTCACACCTTTCATCCTCATTTCTCTTCTTAAACTTATCTCCTCAAGGTGCTTATCATTTGCGGCATATATGTTGCAAAGGGTTACATGACCCGGTGCATTCAGAGGATCCAACTCGAGCAGTCGTGTGGCTGCGCGTCTAGCAACATCTGCATGTGTTTTACTCAAACCACATACTCCAATCAATGCCCCCCAAATGGCATGATTTGGCTCAACAGGTAGCCTCAACACAAACTCCTCTGCATCCCTCACTCTTCCTGCTCGGCCCAATAGGTTGATAATGCTAACATAATGCTCCAAGCCAGGTTGAAGTGCATAATCATTGACCATTATACTAAATAACCCCAACCCTTTATCAACAAAACCAGCATGAGCACATGCTGTTAGGACACCGAGGAAAGTAACAGCATCTGGGTAAACCCCAAATTCAACCATGGTTTCGTACATCTTCAAAGCTTCAAAAGTCCTCCCATGATCCGAAAGACCCATGATCGTGGAGTTCCAAGAAACTTTGTCTCGACAAGTCATGTTTGAGAATATCCTATATGCATCCTCTATCTCCCCACATTTTGCATACATTGAAATCAAAGAGTTTTCAAGGTACACATCATATTCATATTCATATATAGTCTTTAACTGCATAGCATGTAATTGCCGCCCCAGATCAAGATATGCAACAGATCCCACAGCTCCAAAAAGAACAGCATAAGTAGAATTTATAGGGGAAACACCTTGAGCCATCATTTTAGTAAATAAGCTGATGGCTTCAGCAATTAGCTCATTTTGAACATACCCATAAATCATTGAAGTCCATGCAACCGAATCCTTATCACTATCAGGCATGTCATCAAAGAGATTGCATGCCTTTAATACTTGTCCAACACTAAGGTATCCAGAAATCATGCAAGTCGATGCAATTTTGTTTCGAATAGGGACCATGTCAAACAACTCTTGAGCCTTTTCTAACTGACCAGACTGAACGTAACCATTTATCATAGAATTGAAAGACTGGTCATCCCAATTTTTCAGACAACCTTCAAACACACTGCGTGCAGACTCCATAAGACCACACACAGAATACATCCTAACAAGACTTCTCCCTAACCTACCATCATAATCATCAAGCTCCCATCTGTTAGCAATCATCTGAGCATGCAATTGCTTGCCAGCACAAGGAAACCCCAAGCCAGCACATGCATAGACAAGAGAAACAAAAGTCTCCCCATTAGCCTTCACATTAGAATTCGTCACCATCTGAAGAAAAAGTAACAGCGCCTCTCGATAGAATCCATTCCAAGTGAACCCACCAATCATCGCAGTCCAAGAAACAACATTTTTCTCTGGCATAATCCAGAACAAACGAAAACCCTCATCCACATCACCCACACGACAATACCCAGATATCATACTAGTCCAACTGATCACATTCCTACACCCCATTTGATCAAACAAAACTCTTGCTTCATCCATTCCACCATTTTCAACATAACCTTCAATCATAGCATTCCAAGACACCACATTTTTAAAAGGCGCATCATCAAAAACCTTTCTCGCCTCATCCAAGTCACCATTCCTAATCAACCCAACCACCATCGAATTCCACGAAACAACATTCCTCTCAGGCATTTCATCAAACACCTTTCTCGCATCATCAATCCTCCCCGCATCAGCCAACCCACTAAGCATTGCAGTCCAAGAAACAACATTTCTCACCGGCATATCATAGAAAAACATCTGACCCTGTTGGAGCATACCGGATTGAAGATATGCAGACAACATTGCATTGTAAGTGACAATGTTTCTGTGAGGCATTATGTCGAACAGGTTTCGAGCTTCTTCTATGTAACCATGTTTTGCGTAGAAGGTGAGCAAAGAAGTCCAGTGAACAACACGGGAGTGGAGGTTTCCGCATGGGGAAGAGTGAAGAATGCTTCGTGCTTCGTGAAGCAACCCTTTTGTTAGGTAGTGGAGGAGCTGAGACTCGTCGTAATCGTATTTACGAGGAAAAGGAAAGAGAGGTTTTGAAGGTTGAGAATGGTTTTGATTATTGGAAATTGGAAGAGAAAAGCGCCTTAGAATTAAACTGGAACCGCGAATCAACTGCAGAAGGATTGACGAGTGCTGAAGAACTTGCATTGCATAATGAATCACTAGCACTTTTTCCTCATTTTAGATTTAATCTCGAAATTATGCGTAAATTTCAAAATGTTCATGTTAAATACAATATTTTAATTTGTTTTTTATTTATTTATGTTTTTCTTGTAAAAAAAATACAATTTTTTTGAAATTTATATATAGAAAAAATGACTGATGCACCTTACTTTATAAATTTATTTTAAATTGTCAACCAATTAAGACAATGTATTCCAACAAATTATATTGAAATTTTTAAATTACTCATCCTTTCATTCTAAATTGTATGTGATAAGGTAGAAAGGTGTTGCATACTTATTTTAATATTTAAATAATATTAATGATTTTTTTAATTAACTAAACTCTAATTCATATATGTTATGTGATAAGGTAGAAAGTATAAATTATTTTTACATTATCAATAATAATGTATCTCATTAAATTATATTTTAAATTTTAAATGATTTTATATGATTTGACACTTCAAAATATTTTGATTGAAAGAATGTGTAATACTTCTTTACACCAACACCAATATTACACTATTATTAAATTCATATGTTATATGAAGAACGAAATTATTGTCATTTTGTTTTGCTACATGTCAACCCAAACATAACCAAGTTTTTTGTTCACCACTAATTCTACGATTAGACTGATGAACTTATATATTTTTAAGATTATATGTTGTTTTTTTTAATTATTTTATATATTTTTTTCCAACTTTCATATTTTATGGAAGATACAGGGTGTGTTTGTTTCAAATTTAGAAATTACATTTCTGAGAATACATAGGTAAAAAGTGAGGAAATTCATGTTTGTTATAAAATTGGAAAAAATTATTTCTGGGTATAATGATTCCAAGGAACAAAATAATTTCTTATAACTTTTTTTATTCTATAAAATTATTCCCATATTAAAGGATTGGAAGGTGGATTTCCATTAAATTTTATATAGTTTTTTTAAATAAATTAATAAAAATCACAATATTCTTGGGAATAGTAAAATTTTTGCCAAACAATTTTTGAGAAGAATATCTTGGAATACATTTTCTACATTTATTTTTCTTGGATAGTAATTTCAAGGAATAAATTTTAACACTTGAAACAAACGCCCCATAGTAAGATTCACATTTGCAAAAGTGATCGTGTTTTTGAAATATCGACCCAAATGTGACTCGTGACAAAAAAGTAGGGTTTTAGTTTCGACTTCTTCAATGGAATGATGGAGTAGATAATAGACTCATAATTTTGAGGCAAACCTTCGAGAATCACATCTAGGTATTCGCATGGAGAGATGGGTTCACCAATCGCATTAATGCCACCAATTAGTGATTGAACTCGTAGTAGGAATCCTGAAACTGAATTCTTGCCGTTTTCCAATTTTGTGTGCTTGAGCTCCGATCGAAATTGTGAGAGCTTCCCTACAGTATGCTGCTAAAAATGGAAAAGGATTTGGTACTTTTACTATTCAGTAACTTTCATATCTTTAGTGTATTTTTGAAAATGAATGAGTAACAGACAAAATGGTGGTTATGAGAGAGATAGAGAGAAAGACACCAAAGACATTGAATCTCGACGGTAGTTAATCCCTCTCCGATGAATTAGGCATGGATTTTGTCCCACAACATCATGAATTCTTGCAGCTAATAACATGTCAAAGCATGTCGCGAGAGATAGTGGATTCCAATCACGGATGTAGAAGATGATCTTGTTGTTCGTAAGCTTAAAATTCATGTGAAATGCGAGTCTTCATTTGAAGTGAATTTCACTAGAATATGATAATTTAGAAGAAAATGGAGTTTGTGAGCTTTGATTCCGGGTTTCACATGTTGACACCATAACAAATAATTTTCTCTCTCAATCATTTAACTATGTTTTGGTTTCATTATGTTAAATAACATTATCACTCTTCTAAAATTATTTGAAATTTTTAATAGAGAAAGATATTTTAACACAAGTTTGCCATTAATTTTGATGGTTAACATACTTGCAAATATTTCAGCACAATTTGGATTGTTAATTAATAAATATATATATTTGACACATTGCACCCTTAATCATACTTCTACTATTTGATTTTTACTATAATATCCTTAATCATGTATTAAAAATTATGAAAGTTTAATTAATTAGAGAATAAAATTAAAAAAGTATATTAGAAATTGAAATTGATTATTCATTGAGACATTATTTTATTTCAAATTGATCACTTATTATCAAATGGAGGGAGTAACAATCTACTAAACATAATTTAACCATGTATCATCCAATTTAATGTCAAAAATGTGTCTCAAAATAACACAACTCAATTCAACATACGTTAGTTTGAGTCTGCCAATTTAGGAACAAATGTCTTAAAGCAAATAGTATGATTGAAATTTAAATATATTAAAAAAAAAAAAGTAACCCCAATGTACAAAAATTATTTCAACGTAATTGCATTTTGTTCTTTGCATAAAATACAGGTATTTCAAATAAACATTGATAATTTATAGAAAGAGCATTGAACTTGCAATCAAGCATGTAAGAAACATACATTGTTTATTTTTGTTATTTAAACATCTAAGCTTCGGTAACTGTTCCCCTACCAATATCTCATTATGGATCAGGCTACTTGATACTAGCAAGTGTATTTGGTTAATATAGTTAGATATTGGATAATCGGCAAACAGAAACTTGTCATTATAGTCTTGAGATGTAAATATATGTTAGTACATTTGAATGAGTTGATTTAAATTTTAATGGGCGGATAAAAATAATACAGTTAGTGAACATGTAGATAATAGATTATACACCAACCATCTTCTAATTATAACCCCAGGAAGTTTATTACACTGATATGTCAAGAACTGTTAGACCCTAAGAATTGGTCCACAAGTTTAGCCACAGAGTTGGCTAGGGTATCTGCAGCTTCCTGTGTGGATGCTTCCGCATATACACGAACAACATCCTCGGTACCTGATGGTCGAACAAAGCATCGACCTTGAGTGTACTTTGCTGTAAACCAAAAATGACAATGAGACAGAGCTGCAATATTAGTACAACTGAAATTCTACAACTAGTTTAATCTTCTAACTTAAACACATTAGTAGATGGATGAAACTGACTAGTATTCTCAACCTCATGCAATTTTATTTTGGCAAGTCAATTAGATTACAGAATATAATTAATACAATCCAATTGACAATGAGACAAAAGGAAGCAGCAATGCCAGTTTCACAGAGAAACGCGGCCAGTCAATTATGAATAGATAACAGTGCTAATTTTTTAGAGTGAAACAAAAACAACGTCCTCTCTCTGTACCAAATTATAAGATATTTTGCAAAAAAAATTTGTCCCAAAAATTATAAGACGTTTTGCAAAAAAAAATTGTCCCAAATTATAAGTCACTTTACAATTCCAATGCATTTATAATTTTTTTCCTAATATACCCTCAAGTATTTATTACTATTCCTTTTTTCAACTCTTTTAATTTCTCTCATGTGTAATTATGAGGGACATTGCTGTAAAGTCATACAATGTTTGTCTTTCCCATACAATAATAATTAAATTTCTTAATTCGTGTGAAATACCCAAAACGTCTTATAATTTGGGACGGAAGGAGTAATATTTAGACATATACTAGTATAAAACAAGCCTCAAACAAATTTTGCAAAATTGGTGTGGCAAAATGCCACTAGTTTCCCTCCTTCAATTGGTGGGTAGAAATGCAATTGGCCTCAATTCCAAATTGGGTGGTGCCATATTATATCATGGCAACAAAGAAAAAGAGAAGGAGCAAAGAAGATACCAATTTCAGTATTGATGGCTTCCTGCAAACCAGGGGGTCTCACAACAACAGTTTCTGCATTTGCTGTAACTACTGCCGTTCTGTCAGCAACTTTAACCTAACAGTTAAAAAACCAGAGAGATTTTTCATTTCAGAAATGTTTCAAGCAATCACTTTGAAAATAGTTAAAACAGACAAAAAGGTGATTAAGCCCTTGACTACCTGTGCAATGAATTAGTAAGTAGTGATAAGTAAAAAAAATAGGGAGAGGGAATATTAAAATATTTAAGCGGAATAAATAACTTTGCAGCCCAAGATAAAATGTGTGGCATTTGGGTTAAAAACATAATTTAGTTATTGCAAATGCTAGCAGTAGAGAGTTGAGACAGAAAATGATAACAAGGCAAGAACTGAACATAATAATTCATTTAAAAGCAAAAACTTGTTAGCTAGCCATGTAAAATTAGTTGATAAAATAACTAAATTTATGATAACATTTAACTTATGCATTGCAAAACCACGGAATTGAAGCTACATTTATGAACTTCGCCATATAAAAGTATTATTATATTATAGGAAAACAAAAGAAGCATATATTTATGATCCAGTCAAAACGTCTGATAGCTTGACAGAAGTTCTACTTACAGAAAAGATACATGACAATAATAACAGACCTTGAGCATCCTGCTAGGTAAATCGTGATAAAGTTCATTCCATCTATGTATTGACCATCCCATGTGCTTCAATATGACTTCCACCAAGAGCACTCCACTCAAAGCATCTCCTACTGCTTGGTTGATCAAATTACTGACTGCCAATAATCTCAAAGCAGCCTTCTCAGCTTCTGAACCTGAAACAAACAGCCAAAAGATTTTTATTTTGCTCCTCAGTTGATTCTTAAAATTGAAGTGAGATTAGTGAGAAACCAACTAATAAACCTTTGGATCCTGAAGAAAGTTCGCGGCTTCTGACCTCTAACCACTCTATGAAAGATTCCGAAAATAGGATAGTTCCATGGCCATTTGCCTCAAAATATATACCAATATCAAATTCAGCAGCTTTTTCATGCAAGTATTTCACTCCAGTGGGAGTAAAATTAACTTCGAGTCCCAAGTTTTTAAGGTAATCAGTAGAAGCCCCATTTGCATATGCAGTCTGTATGATACCAAGACGGGCTTTGTGGCCGTTTTCTAGGTCTTCTTTCTCATTAAGAAAGCTTAGTTGCTCCCTAATAAATACAGCAAACAGGGACAGTATTTTGTCCCCATCAACAAGATTAATTTGAAGATTGCTTTCAGGTGGTACTGAAAAATAAACAAGCCGATCAGCATCTCCATCCAAACTAGCACACCTGCAAACTAGAACTAATTAGCTCCATTAGTAGGACCACAATAAATAGCACCAATATAGTAATGTTAAGAAATGTACAAGTACAATTATTAAATCAAAGGTAGGGGATTAGTTAGCAGGTGTGGATTGATTAAATCATTAATAACATAATCTCCATTAAAACAGATAATCTCAACTGTCATAATGGAAAATTCTTGAGATGTAATATCCACTTTTAGCATCGGAAGACTAACCTTATGGCAGCATCTTTAGAACCAAAGCCGCACGGAGCAACCTTTTCTTTCTGCACATAATCAGCACCAACACCATCATTTAGTACACCTTCATCTTCACTGCTATTTCGAACCTCAATATCCAAAACATTCAACAATTTATGCAAAATTTGAAGTTTTGCTCCACCAACACCATTAGCTCCATCCACAACCAATTTGTCATTCATCCCATCAAACTTGTTTCGTTCAGTCGGAATCAAATCGATTAAGCACCTGATCCATTCACATAATGACCCTAAAGAACGTGTTCAGTGATGGCTTTACCATCAATAACAAAAAGGAACAAGTTGATATGATATCTACGCGTCATAACAATATTAAGAAAGAATTGTACTAACTTGAATGAGTTGGAAAGCTGTTCAAAGTAATCCTGCTCCGACGCTCTTAGGCCCTTATTTCTGGCACGAACCATCCAATGTAGTTGTGGAGTTGTCAAAATTCCCATGTCAGACGCAACAGCTCCAACAATTGAAGTGACTCCCTTAATTTTTATCCAAACATATCGGACTTTAATCTGACAGTAAAATAGAACAAAATGATAAAAAAGAAGCTAAATATAGTTTATGGCACCCATACTTGTCTAGCAGCTTCAAGCAAAGCTTCTCCACTTGGCCTCGTGTCTCTCCCCAAAAGTATTTCAGCCGGCCTGACCCCGTCAAATGGTATCCTTTCTTTCTCAACAAATTCATTTATCAACTGCAAGTCATATAGAATAACATTCGTAGTGAGTTACTACCTTCAATCTTGATTATAAGCAAAAGTACTCAACTTCACACATATTAAGAAAAATGGTTAAGTACAATAAATCTCCTTAATTTCATACAAAACAAACATTTAAGCATATCCATCACACAAACTCAAAGGTGTTGACATTTAATTGAAGAATCCCAAACCTGGAGAAGTTGTTGAGGAGAAGGCGCATTTGCAATGGCGTCCGCAAATGGCTCCCAATGCTGAGACAACATACCCCCATTCGGATCAGCAATTTTCACACCATTATCAGAAACTTTGTTATGTGAAGCAGTGATCATAACTCCGATCACCGACTGTGTTACCAGCGATCTAAGAGCTGCCAGAATTCCAACTCTGTACACCGTCGATGATAAAATCGACGCATCTTCCCTAAACCCAGCAGTGCCATACGATAGCTTCACTCCTACAAACAAACAAACATGTCAACCGTAACGGAATAAACGACGCCGTTTTACAAGGTAGTGTGAATCGGAATAACGAACCTTGAGGAATCACGAAGCGAGAAGAAGAATCCAGAAGCAGAGACTTTTGTACTTCGTTCATGGCAACAGATCCAAATCAAACCGCTGAAACAGAAAACAATAGCAATTTTATTTTTGCCGGTTGAATAAAAAATAAAAAAACGAATTAGGAAAGGGCAAAAACGTCATTTGACGACACAACCGATGAAGCGTTACTTTATTTCACTACATAATCGTAACTTGAAATGAAATCCCTAGATATAAGCATGGGTTTACTGTGGTGGCGGAAGGGGAAGGATTCTCAACCGGAAGCGAAGTCGTCGGCTGAGAACGCGAAGAATGGTGGTGCCGCTGTCAAGACTACGGCGGAGGCACCGGGGATGAACGGTGCAATGGAAGTTCCTCGACCTAATACGAGTGTATCCGTTTTCGAGTTTGGTTCCGTTGCTGGTTCTAACGATAAGGTTACGCTCGCTGGCTTTTGTCCTGTTTCTGAAGAACTTGAGCCTTGCCGTTGGGAGATTCTCCCCGCGATTGAGTCCAACGCGCCGCAGTTTCGGGTTGTTTTCTGATATCTTGTGTAATCGTTTGTGTATTTTTCAACTCTTTGACTTGTATGTGCTCTTGTATTGATATGACTTCGATATGAATGAATTGTGTTTTCTCGGTTGCATGAGATGTATTTTCTTTTGGATTTTATAACATTTTATGAAACTCTAGTTGGAGATGAGAAAAAAAATTACATACTTCCATTTATGCATTTGATACAAATTCCATCTTAGAGCATTATTACTGGTGCATTTTGTTATAGCCTTTCATTGTGATTCTTTATCAAAGATATGGAATTGAGAAACCAGTTGCACCCTTCTTAGAATCTTAGCACTTTTTCCCATTGAGATATGATTTATGGGAATGATTCAAAATATGATGCAGAGAAGATGTTTCCCCAAACAACCAAAATCTACGTTTACAATATCGATAATTCATTTTTATCATACCCTTTTATGCATTAGCCCAACAAAAATGCTTATTTTACGTAATTTATATTTAGCACCCTTCATGGTACCAACATTTTTTAACCAATGTGTGGCATAAAGCAAAACATTATAAGACAATCTTTGGAGTAGATAGCCTATTGAAGATGCTGTCAACGTTAGCTGAAGAGGCAGTTGAGACTGAACCTTTTATCATTATTATTATCTTGTACTCGTACTTTGAAGTTTGGATCAAGGTATCTTATGCATTTTAACTGTATTCTCCAATCCTGAGTAGCTATCAATGGTGGTTGAGGTTGCTCTCAAGGCTAAAAAGATTGGTGTAACATTTGACCTTTTTGAAGTTAGGATCAAGGTATCTTATGCATTTTAACTGTGTTCTCCAATCCTGAGTAGCTGTCAATGGTGGTTGAGGTTGCTCTCAAGGCTAAAAAAATTGGTGTAACATTTGACCTTTTTGAAGTTAGGATCAAGGTATCTTATGCATTTTAACTGTGTTCTCCAATCCTGAGTAGCTGTCAATGGTGGTTGAGGTTGCTCTCAAGGCTAAAAAAATTGGTGTAACATTTGACCTTTTTGAAGTTAGGATCAAGGTATCTTATGCATTTTAACTGTGTTCTCCAATCCTGAGTAGCTGTCAATGGTGATTGAGGTTGCTCTCAAGGCTAAAAAAATTGGTGTAACATTTGACCTTTTTGAAGTTAGGATCAAGGTATCTTATGCATTTTAACTGTGTTCTCCAATCCTGAGTAGCTGTCAATGGTGGTTGAGGTTGCTCTCTGTTTCCAGTGATTTCTGGTAAACAACCGCTAGTCTTCCAAACTATCGAATAATCTTTATTAACGCTACTCAATCTCTTTGGTAACTCACAGGATCGACTAGATTGATCCTAGGACTCCTTGGATATCAAGGTTACTCTCACAATCGAACAATTATTCATGGGTGTCATTGTACAAATGTTTGGTTTACTTCGATCCCTCTCTCTAAGAGTTTAAAATATGGTCAAAATGTATGTGAAAACTAAGTTATACGAATGATTGCTAATTGTAATGCTGATTGAAAAGACATATAAAACTGTATGGAAAATGAAGTAACTGGTTTCGACCCATAAAACATTTAACATAAAAGGTTTCTGGAATGTGGAAGTTTAAAATGTGAAGAAAGCGTTTAATGCAAGAAATCTAGGAATGACTTTAAGTGAAAGTACATGCTTGAAGAATAATACTTGAAAGTAAAGGTATTGAGAGCGTAAAAGTTCTCTAAAATATAGAGTGCTTCGAAATATAAAGAATGCAGTAAAATGTAAAACTTTAAAGAAAAGGCTTTGAAATGAAAAGACAGTAGATAAAGAAACTTGTAAATGTTATTCGACAGAAAGAAAAAGAAGGAAAGTGCTGGAAATAGTAAAAAGGCTTTTATTAAATTAGAAATACATGGTGTTATCATACATACATCTCTCTTGCATTCGTTTCCCTTGCCATGTGGTAGTTTGAATGTTATTGAGTATTTTGTATAACAGATATGACACACTGAAATCCTAACACTAAGACTTCTATTTATACTAATTCGACCCTAACGGTCTCGCTACAAGATCATGCCACGTTTCGAACATGCAAGACAATGCTCCTTTCATCTTTCCACGTGTCCTCAAATGCTCCAACACATAACTTTCAAACTTTGAAAGTCCCGCTTTCATTTAAATTTCAAATGCTTTGGTGTTTCTCTGCTTCGAACGCTCTTCTCAGACTTAGCTTCGCTGCTGTTTCGAGATCCCTTTGGATACGCTCCCAAGATCACCGTTCGAAGCTTCAAGCTTTGACACACTCATTCGAAACACTACTTCTGCAATTTCGAAGCGTGGTGTTTTAATTCCATTTCGATCAGAACTTCTAGCTCTTTTTGAATTCTAAATAACATTATCAAAATCTTCAGCCAACAAATTGCCCCTTTAAAATATGTATTTCGATCTCTCTGAGAAATACCTATTTTAAACATTTATACAAGATTTTGATAGGATCTTCGAATCATCATAGCATTTAATGCGTTTGACCCTAGTCACATCAATCATAGCACCCTTTGGGTACCTTAACCGCCCAAAGTCACTTCACAGCATGGTGCAGTTATAAGTAATGATTGTTTTTTAAAATCACGCCTATTACCTATATCAACTTCTCGCCACCTCTTCATCACACCAATCCATGATCTCCACGTATCATACTTTCACTCGGTGGATGTTTCATCTTCTTATTATAAAACGTCAATTTAACCTTCCTTTTTCCTTCTTTACACTCTAAACCTTTCAAACTCTGGAATTTTACTCTTCTTCTCTCATAAACGCTCTAAGCTCTCAAACAACAAAAATGTCTTCTTCCACATCATCTCAACTCAAGAAAGTCTCCAAGAAGAAGGGAAAAACTACAGGAGCAACTATGGAGAGTAAAATCGTCACCATTCAAGGCCAATCTGCTCTTGCTCCTCAAATGATTTCCAAAGAAAAAGAAATGCTGTACGCATCACAGGTACTCATCCCTACCCATGTTGCTGGTAAGAGGTTAGCCTTAAATGGCCCTCTTACAGTTTTTGAAATACTAAAGGACACCAGGACCATTTTTCCCGTGTGTTATAACTTCAAACCTTTATTCAACAAAATGGATGCCCCTAGGGCAGTAGAATTTCTTAATCCGAATACCACAGAAACCTCAACTGTTCATCCCAAGGACCCATTTATCTTGGATTATGTAAAAAGCAATTTTAAACCATTCCGATCTTGCCCTACTGCTGATGTTGCTTATCAAAACTGGTTTACGAAAGTAGAAGCCAAAAAATCCCAGCAATGGGAAGAACTAGGCATTTATAACCTTATTAAGCTGTCGAAACCTGGATTCACCTATAGTCATCCTCTGCTATTTGCGTCCCTCTATTTCTGGGATAGTACCTACAACACTTTCCATCTTCCAGGTGGAATGATCACCCCAACCTTCTTCGATATAGCAGCCATTACTGGGCTGTCGCCAGTGGGGGAAACTTATGTTCCTGACAATGAAGAGCACTCAAGCATAATTGACTTCGAAGTCAAGTTAGCCAGCTTCTCCAAATTTATCGGCCATTATCATGCTGAAGGGGATAATGTGTCTGACACAGAACACATTGCTTTCTTAACTCTGTGGCTGTCTAGGTACGTTTTCTGCAGTAGATCCCTGCAGGTAGCTAGTAGGTTCATTCCTTTAGCTAGGGATTTACATGAAAATCGCAAAGTGTGCCTAAGCGAATTACTCTTAGTTGACCTCTATGAGAGCCTGAGGTCAGCTGTTTCGAGCCTCAAATCCCACACTTCCAAAAACATTCTTTTAGCTGGCCCATTTTGGTTACTTCAATTATGGCTCAACGCCATGTTCGAACCTTCTTTATCAACTGCCAACACCATAGACGAACAAGATGCAGAAATAAGTGATAGGATAGTCGAAGGCACTAGGCTTCGAAGACTAACCCCTAATGATGACAAGGATGACTTCAAGGTTCAATTTTCGAAGTACATCTTGATACTCTCAAAAAGACACAAGCTCGAAGAGAGCATGGCGCCCTTTGCTTCGAGGGCTCATGGACCTTCTTGGTTCACCATGGCTCTCTCAGAAGCCATCAAGAGTAAGGAAATCCAAGATGTGTGGAGAGCTTTCTTGCTTCCTAGACTTATCTCTTCAAGGATAACCCCAGCTAAGAACCAAATTCTTCTCTTTGCCTACCAACCAAACTTCGTTTCGAGGCAGTTTGGCCTATGCCAACTGATTCCTGAACCTTTGTTCCAGACTGAGAGCGCCATCACATCTGGTCGAACTTTCAAGGCAAGGGAAGCCAAGATCCAACAAGAACAATATCAGGGCTTTGCCCAATTTGAACTGATAGCCTTCGAACCTACTCATCTCGCGGCCAAAGGATTTCTGGAGTGGTGGATTAAGTTTTATCAAACTTGTATGTTTGATACACTTACTATTCGACAGAAACTAATTGACGCCTTCGATGTGCAGGTACCAGCAAAGAAAGGTATGTTTACTCATGCCAAAGAAATAAAAGCTTTTCAAAATTACTTCGAAACTACTTACGACCCCACACGCTTGGACTCCACTGTGCATCAAGCGGCTGAGACCTTGAAGGAAAAATTTAAACAAAAAGTTTCCAAGCTAAAACTTCCTTCAGGGCTGTCACCTGAGGATAGGTATAGGTTGGCATTCGAAATGCATCCACCTAAATTTCCCAGATTACCTACCTCAGAACTGGCTCTGGCTTGGTTTCCCCCATATCCATGGTGGTTTACTTGCAAAGAGATGTTCAAATATCTTCAAAGGAAACCAAAGCCATCTGAGACTGTGACATGGGCTCGACACTGGCTTCATGATTTCCCAGGACATCTTCGATATGACCTTTCTGCCATGTCAATTAAATCTGATCAAGGCACAGGTGCGAATGCTTGGGAAAAACTCCCAAATATCTTTTATTTTCCAAATCTTTAACCTTTGCTTTAAATGTTTTGATTTTCAGCTATCAGGATAAAGACCACTGCCTCGAAATCGAAGGAAGGGAGT